GAGCTTTTTACAAAGCTCGGTTAAGGGCAAGACATGGCCTTGCCCAAAAAATGGAACTACTAGAATCTCTCCAATCGCGTTGTCCATATTGTTTATGAAATTCGATTAGTTTTTTCGTATTTATTTTTGAAAGAATCTCAAATTTTCTTCGGTGAGTAAACGATGTGATGACACGTATATGATTACGTGTCGAAAAACAGGAAACAAGTGTCATTTCCTAGGTGTAAAGGTTCATGCATGCAGATTCCACTTGTACTATATTGTATTTTTTTTTGTGTTGTAGTTGGGAATTTATATTATATTGTAAATTATTGATTTCTTTTTCGAATTATTGACATCTTTAATAATAATTTAGATATTTTTGAAATTTGTCATATAATACACAATTTTAAATTTTTGTAGGAGCATGAGACTCTTAATAAAAAGTCAAAAGAAATGTTGAAAACACCGTGAAAATTTAGAGGTGTATTTCACTCATGTTGCAAAATCGAAGGTGTATAAATTTAAGTTCAGTTAGTCGCCTAATAATTCGCGTCAAGTTTAGGATAATTTCCAATACTTCTCTTTATTTTTTCCCGTTTTGATTAAATTGTAAGTATTCAAGACTTTTAAATTTTATGATCTTAGATTAATTAAAGATCCGTAGAATGTACTTTATATTCATTTAATCTAGTTGTCATAATCACGCCAACTGTAATGAAAATTAAAAATTAAAGAATTGTCAAAAAAAAAAAACAAAAAGAAACTGACTTTAAAAAGGTGAACTAACAAATTAAAATGAAGGGATATTATATTTGTAATGTATTACTATATAATTTTGATGAATACAACGTTAATTCAAATAGATTATATCATTTTCTATCATTACATACACACAGTACTAAAAATCCGAAAAGTATTATTAGCATAATAGATGGACAAAGACGAAGGGTATATTATGACCTTTCGCGATAGTTCAGAGACATTTTTGACCCTTTTCCGTATTAATTCAAATTCTCACTTTCATTCAAACAATGTTTACCAAACTAAAAGAAATGAAAGCATGTTAACAACTGCAACTGTAAATGCTCTTTTTTCTTCTACCTATATGCTCCCTACTATCTGTGGGAAGGCAAAAAAACTAAGGCCAATGCTGTGAAGTGTGCAATGTATATTAACCCTTCTGGGATTGTGCTCCTCAACATGTTGCTTAATCCTTTGAACCTGCAAGAAATCGATACACGACAACGTGAGAAGTTATTTGTGTTCTCTGAATTGCAGTAAGAGGTGGATACTGAATACATGTACGTTACGCGGATTCATTTATGGTATATATCAGATATATGAGTGTGTGCAAGTATCCATATGAGGTACTCAACACTGGCAATGTCATGGTTGTAGAACAGTTATAAATGACAGCACGATAGACTACACAGATGACAACGCGTTGTATATTAGCGTGGAAGTATCAGTAAAGGGAACAAATGATTGCAGATAGAGTACCGGCTTTGTTATTCAACAACATTTAACAGTTCAACACAGATTCAAGATAAGACTATACATAACACAGTTTCAGTGAACCAGAAGGAAACAGTAACGATCCCCGAACAAGTCATGAAGGAAACAGTGCTCATGTTCAATCTAAAACGTTGACAAAAACATCGATATCATTATCTAGCTTCAGATTACACCTAATAAATGTAACAAACTTGACATAAAAGATTCATACATAGGAAAGTAGGAGTTATGTCCTGTTTCTCGTCCTATCTAATCCGCCATCTACCCCCACACAACACACACTCTTTACTTCTTCCCACTTTTATCACCAAAATGTCGTCTTGAATTGACTTTGTGCTCCATGAAAAACGAATATAATTGGTGAGTACTTCTTCAATCATAGTAACATAAAACAGTCGGAGATGGTCAATGTTGGAAAAAAGTGGTTGATATGATTGTAAAATGAAAAAGCAATCTTAGTTGCAAATTGCACACCAATCCGAACCAATAACCATTTTGACCAAGGGTAGATCAAGTTCCTTCCCCGTCAATAATCACATTTGATGACACCGATATTACACTGTTTAAAGAATCAGAACAAAGTAGCATGAAAAGTCTAATCATGGTTTAACTGTAATACAGTACTACTTCCATTTGTGAGCACTCTGTAGCATACCTTTGCAAGGATGAAATAAGCTATTGATGCCTTGTTTTAGACGATCCATGCATTGATCCGGAAAAGACATTTTGATTGGCATTTCAGACGAATCTACCGCCTTCCCTACTGATTCTTTGAACCTTATGCTTGAAAAAGACTGAATCACTCTTTCTTGGAAGCCAGCAATATTTGAATCGAGGTAACACCGACTCTCTTCCACAATGTTTCTCATGCTTCGAATATCAGTTGATCGAGACATCTCAATAGCACCACTTCTGGCAGCTGTGAATGCTACGAAAGGATATACGGGTAAATCAATAAATCAACTTCAACAGTAGTTTCGACTCTCAGAAAGTTGGCAATAATCATCAAATATAAACGAAAAGTAACAGAAATGTAACGTCCAAATTCATTAAGAAGCTGAATATGAAAAGTTGGTTATTTTTACCATTGTAAGGACCTGTGTAAATGTAATTGGCAGGTAGACCAATGCCAACGCCGAGCAGAGAGAAGCCAACGCTGAATCCAACACCACATCCAGCTCCAACATAACCAATAGCCTCAGGACCAAATCCAGGACCCCATCCCACCCCACAGCCAACGCCTATTCCCATGCCCCAGAAGGCTCCATATGTAGGATGCACTGGATTCCATCTTTCGTATCTCCTGAACAGACCCTTTATAATCATCTCTACCTACAATCACAAGCCCATAAGTCTATCAAATTCTGTTGAGAGATACCCTAAGATAACGAAAATGGAAATGCCAAGTCCGGAGGGCAAATTTTAACTCCTTTGGAAAGTTGTCCTCTCAAAGTTTTCTAACAGTTTAGTCTGGAAGGCAAATTTTACTTCCACAGGGGTTCTGTGTCTTACTCTCTCCATCCCAGTTTACGTTGTTGTGTTTGATAAGACACAAGAAAGTTGTCTAAAACTTGTGGTCTATAACAAGACATAGACGTGACTATAAATCATCACATTAAGGGTGCAATGAGAAGTTCAAAGTTGATTCTTTTTTCTAAATAAACGTGACTTTCTTTTTTGAACATGCCAAAAAGGCAAGTACGACACATAAGTTGGATCATGAGTTTTTTCCTTCTCTATCTTTTCGTACTAATTCTCCCCACTCATCCCAGTTAACCATCAAGTTGTGGAAAAAAAAGGAGCTATTTTATAATAACTTGAAAATTCAACTAGAAAGTTAACCCCTTTATTCCTAGTTCTATTTGTGTTCACAAACCAGAAGATTTTGCTAACTACTCCCTTACCAAATGAAACACTAAGGAATATTTCAGTATACATGGTTCACACAAGCTATCCTCTTAAAAACAATAGAAAAAACCCAAGAACAAAAACAGCGCAAATTTAGCAAACTTTAAACAATGAAAGCTCATCAAAGTAACCAGCAACACTTAGAAATGAAATGAACAATTCAGTATATTGTACTTCATTCACACAAGTTAAGCACTTGAGAAATTGAGAAAACCCCAAGAACAAAAGAGGGTAAAAAAGCTTTCTTTTTAAACAATGAAATCTCAGAGTAAACAATGAAATCTCAGAGTAAGCAGCAACACTTTAGAATTGAAATGGATAAATCACTATACTTGATTCACACAAAGTCATGCTCTTAAAATTTAGAGAAACCCCCATGGTAAGTATTCCTCCATCTTAACCAAGAGGTCTCGTGTTCGAGCTCCTTGGGTACGGAGTCGCCTTTGTTAGGCAGTGCTTTAACCCCAATGTGGGACTTCCCGGAGCGAATCTGATATAATCGGGCTCTAATGTGGGTACCAGATACCGTGTGGAGAACCAAACAAACAATAATTTAGAGAAACCCCAAGAACAAAATAGCCCTCTTTTATACAAAGAAACCTCAAAATAAACACAACACTTGGAATTGAAATGGACAAATCACACAAAATTGTGCTCTTAAGGAACTAGAAAATACCCAAAAGATCAAAATAGCCCAAAAAGCCCCCTTTTTTTTAAAACAATGAAATTTCAAAGTAAGCAACAACAACAAGAAACCAAATGGATACTTCAATATAATTGATTCACACAAGTTATGCACTTACAAATTAGCCAAAAATCCAAGAACAAAATAGCACAAAATACCCTTTATACAAATAATGAAATCATATGAAAACAAGCATCAACACATAGAAATGAAACAAAAAATAAAAAAAATACAGAGATTTAAGTTTCTACCATGAAAGGGTGCTGCTCAGTGTAATGTTCGCGAAGCTCGAAGGAAAAATTATTTGAAATTGAAATTTTGTTAATATAGTAGTACTACCTCTTATGGCCAAAATTGTTTCAATATGATCTATCCATAATTAATATATAATATAATACATATTACATAGTATAAAGTACAAAAAAAAAGACATGATTTTTGTAAAAAATACTAATCAATATTTGATACATATCTTAATAATTCTAAATTCATTTATTTTTGGATAGAGGGTGAATTTATTTCGTAATATCCCAGCTCATGAAAATATTTTCAAGACGATAAAACATAAGAGACGTTAAGTACTTATATTATAGCAACAAGTTTTAAATTATGTGAGTCTAAGAACAAATATACTATTAAAGGCTGTTTAGATTATGGAATAAGGTGGACTATTAGAATCACTTGAGATGAGATTTACTTCTCAAATTTGATATTTATTCCTTCTGAAACAATCGATAAATTAATCACAAAATTATAATTATAACGTTGTAATTTCAAAATAACTTTATTTCACAAAAATAAAAGTATAAATATATTTTTTAAACCATATAGCTAGGTCTTTGGACAATCTTACCAACATGGGCAATATAGTAAATTAACCATGGTCTCCAACAACTTATAGATAAGCCTCTTACAAAAATCTTGAACTAAAAGGCCTCACCACCACCAACCAATTAAAACAATGTGAAGAGAAGTTGTAAAGCAAATCTAGTGAAGAAGTTCAAAAAAAAATAAAAAAAAAATAATGGAAACATGTTCATTTCCAAGAATTGTATTATCTCCTTTAAATCCACTAATATCAAAAAACAAACACTTTCAAATTCCCAAATCCAAACAATCACATATAAAAATCACACCTCTTTTTGCAACACTCAATTCTCCAAAAGGTTTTGGACCTTCCCCTAAGAAAATTACCAAAAAATCCAAGAAAATACCAAAACAAGAAAATGAAGATCAATACGACGATAACGATGATAATGATGATGATGATGAACAAGAAAGAGGAGTTATACCAGAGATAGTAACTAATAGAATGATAAGTAGAATGGGATTTTCAGTTGGTATTCCTTTGTTTATTGGTTTATTGTTTTTTCCTTTTTTTTATTATCTTAAGGTTGGTTTAAAAATTGATGTACCTACTTGGGTACCTTTTATTGTGTCATTTGTGTTTTTTGGGAGTGCCTTATTGGGAGTTAGTTATGGGATAGTTTCATCTAGTTGGGATCCAATGAGAGAAGGGTCAACTTTGGGTTGGAATGAAGCTAAGAAGAATTGGCCTGTTTTTTGGCAATCAATTAGTGGAGGTGGATCAAGAAAAAAGTATTAGGAGTTTTTTGGACTTTGCTTATGTATCTTTTATGAATATAATAATGTGTTTAAATCTTGATCTTGTTATAAAATAACAATGTCATTTGGATTGTTTATTTGTGATTTAGGTAGTTTCTTGATTTGTGGGGGTATGTAGTCGATTTTCTGTCGTAAAGTAATATTTAAGTTGTTAATGTACGAGTCTTATGAGATTATGATGATTTTAAAAGCGTAGGACTTTTGGTTATTCATTTTTCATTAATGTAATGTGTTTAAAGTTTGATCTTATTTATAATAACTATGTCATTTGGATTGCTTATTAATAGTTTAGGTATTTTCTTGATTTGTGGGGTTGTAGTCGACTTTAAGTAATATTTAAGTTGTTAACGTACGAGTCTTATGAGATTATGATGATTTAAAGGTGTTGGACTTTTGGTTATGCATCTTTCATTATTGTAATGTGTTTAAAAATTTGATCTTGTTTTATAATAACTATGCCATTTGGATTGCTTATTTACGATTTAGGTGTTTTTTTGATTTGTGAGGATACGTAGTTGACTTATTGTCATGAAGTAATAATATTTAAGTTGTTTATGTATGAGTCCTATGAAATTATGATGATTTTAATGGCGTCGGATTTTTGGTTATAAAGACAATGTGTTTGAATCTTGATCTTGTTATATAACTATGTCATTTGGATTGCATATTTGGGATTATTTAGGTGTTTTCTTGATTTGTGGGATATTTTAAATTTTGCATAAACGATGTCGATTTATCGTCACAAAGTAATATTTAAGTTGTTTATGTATGAGTTTTATGAGATTATGGTGATTTAAAGACTTTACTTTATGTTTGAAATTATATTGAAAGAATTAGGACTAACTTTTGGCAATGTAATTCTCTTTGATCGTGTCTTATATTATCTTGATCTTGTTATAAATTTCTCGTTTTAGATAATAAGGAGGTTTTTTCTTGATTTGTAGGGATAGAATTTTGCACAAACAATATCAATCTATTGTCACAAAGTGATTTTTAAGAATATCGATCTATTGTCACAATGTGATTTTTAAGTTATTTATGTACAATATCATGATAATTTGAAGACTTTGAATATGAGATTAAGATTTACTTTATATTGTTATATAGGATCAAGTTAATTATTTAGTTAATACAACTTAAATTATTTAAAAATACAGGAGCAAAACAATAAACCTATTGATATTGAAAGATCCAATAGATTCTTCTAATGTATCATTATGCCACAATAGATTAGATGAAATTGGGCTGGGCCTTATAGTATCCATTAGTTGTGCAGAAAGAAGCCCATTTGTTGACTTAGGTTAATGAAAATAATTATAAGTAAATAAAACTTTAATAAATTCAAATGCTCTTAACTTCTAATGATAGATCAAAAGTTATTGTCAATCATGTTGATCATTTGATATGGATACATGTATATACCAAATATATATATGAAGACTTATTTGCATATACAATGAAAATATATGCATAAACTTTTTTAAATACACCGGATAGATCTAATAAAATATTATTTAAATTTTTTTAGACTGAAATACATAACATTACTTTCATATACATATAGAAGAAATCATGTTTTCATTCTTAACCCCAATGTATCTTTGTAGCCTTCTACACAAAAAAACGATTAGTTAATAGAGATAGAACACACCATTATGAATTTATCAAAAATAGACTTGAAAAAAAAAATCTACCATAGCTTCGATGATAGAAAGGTTGTGGAGTCTTTGATGAATGTGAATTGTTTGACCGACCCATCGATTAACTTCAAAAGCTTTCTTTGTAACAGTTACTTCAATTTAGTCTCGTTAGAAAGGATCAACACATAATATGAGATACGAGATTTAAGATAGAGTAGCTGATTGAGGAGATAATTAATTAATGCCGATTTTTAATAAATTTGAGTATTTGATTGTATCTTTAATATTATATGATATAAAATATTAAAATTGATAATATATGAAATTGTTTGAGAGTAGAAATAATATAAGTATATATGATTGTGATGCATATCTAATAAGATGTTTGTCAAGAGAAAAAAATGATATATAAATCACTAAAGATATTATTATAAAAAATACTAAAATAATAACTTCATCAACATAAATTTGTTATTCACATCATTGCTTAATGTCTTAATGATGATGTTAAACTGTAATTAGCCAAACCAAATATGAATTAAAAGCATTGCATGTAGGCAAGGGCACATGACAGAATTTTGTGACAACATAGTACAACTATTGCAGTGTGTGTTTTTGCTTTGGCTCACAATTATTGGTTACACATAAATGTGGACAAAAATCTGAACAAGGCAATAAAGAGAAGGTAGAGTTGACATAATTGAAAAGTACTCCTCACACCCCATTCAAAAATATATAGTCATCTTATTTTACGTGACACTATTTAACTTGACATAATGTTCAGAAAAAAAGAGAAAAGAAAACTTCTGGTCTAAAATCGTCAGATATTTGTGTGGCTATAAATTATTTCATTAAAGGCAAAAAAAGAATTTCTGAATCAAAATGTTTCTAGTTATAGTAAGATGACAGTCTTTCTAGAAAAATTGAAAAGAAAAGAATATCACATAAAATGAGACTGAGAAGTAATATATTTTGTATTCTATATTCAAAATTTACTAATCTGATTGATTTGAGTTTGTACCAATTTAAAACGGTGAAATTTATTGATAAAAACATATGTAATCCACCTAACTCGCGCAAGTATGGACAGGTGAATGGTCAACCTATTTATTAATTTGATCTGTTTTAATTCGTTCAGTTCAACTCATTCAAAAATCAAGATTTAATGACATTGAAAACGAATCGTATTGAACTTAAATACCCGTTTGTCCCACTTCATAGGCAAAACTTGTTGTACTTAAACTTATGCTCATAGAGAAAGTGAGGTCAAAAGTTTAAAATCACACATTTATAAAATTGATCTATCCCATAAGATTTTTTTTTTCTTTCAAAATAGCCTTTTTGTATGTGATATGTTATGTAAAGCCATATTGATAATGGATTTTTTTTTTTAATCTTGGTAATTAAACAACTTATAAGAAAACAAATTACAAAAATTTAAAATTCGGTAAGAGTTGTGCAAATTGATTTATGAACGCAATGTTCACTCATCTTGATCTAAGTCATTTCAGCCAAAGTAACCTTTGGAAACTTCTGTAATCCGTCAATTTATTAGTTTCGACCATTTGATCCATGACTTAACTCAATCTGGTCATTAGATTCGTTCAAATTCAACTCAATTCATCCATTTAACTACTTCGAAAGGGTAAGTATTATCGAGACAATTTTACCTATTTTTAACTATTCCACCCCTAGCTCTCATGAGTGGTCCATTCAAATGTTGGATTATGAAGAAACAAAGAAACAAATGACAGTTTGTCACCCCCCCAAAAATGGCAATAGACAGCATGGGAGTATTTGCCAGACAAGAAGTCAAGTATAGGAAGCATAGAAAAGAGAACATTGGAACATTGACTTTGCTTTTCTTGCCTAACAAGATTTTGCTTTCTTTAAACAATTGTAGCTTTCACTTTTAACTCAACATACTTAATAAAAAACGAGCGTGAAAGTGCCGAAAACACCTCTAAATTTTGCGTGAATTATTAGTTTTATTTTTAAATTATTGACAGTTTTAAAAATACTCATATTTGCTTGACTAACTGAATTTAAATACGTCCCAATTTTGCAACACGAGTAAAATATAGTACCCTTAAATTATCGCCAAGTTTAGAGATGTTTTCAACACTTTTCTCATTTTTTTATTAAGAATCTCATGCTCATACAAGAGTATAATAGCACTTATTATGTCATGTGACAGATCAGGTTTGTATATAAGTTTATTCATCATTCAAGTAAGAGTATTTTTAAGGATGTCGTAGTTCAAGAATGAAACTTAAAAGTTGTATCGAATTTATGGATATTTTCAATATTTTTCTCTAAAAAAAATTAACATGATTTAGCGTAAATACAAAGAAACTTTGTATTCATTTGCTATTTGGTACTCCCTTTCTTCAATAATACTTGTTATGTTTTTCTTTAGGAGTCAAACTATACGAACTTTATTTAATAAGTATTTAAGATATTTTTTTATTATATTAATATTTTTAAATATTTATCAGTTACTTTTTATTTATTTACCAAAAAGGAAAAAATATTTTGATATATACATTTTGATTAGATACAACCACCTTAATTATTTTTTAATTACAAACACTAACTAAAAGATAACAAAAGAGAAACATAATGATTTGATTGTTATCTGATCTAGTACAGATTATATTCTTAAAATACCTTAGTCATTTTCATAAATCCCCACCAAATAATTAATGAGTTTAACATCGATATGAACAAATGAAATTTATTTATTTAAAATTAAATATTTTACATTTAAATAATAAAAAAATAATGTTGAGAGCTTATACTCAAAAACAAAATTAGCAATATATGAATATAAATTTAATAAAACTCTAATACATTACCGAATATGAGGTGAGAAAGTAAAAAGGAAATATATGAGGTTATAAGTAATGTAATTTTTATTTTTATTTTTATATGGCCAATGCAAAACAACACTTAAAAATCAAAATAGTTAAATATCCAACCCTAATTTAAAAGGCAAAAATAGGGTTAATCCCACCTTAATATGATGGTTCTAAGTAACCATTTATCTAGACATGTGGGACCCACATGTCCACCATGAACAAGACCACAAAATACCCTTTTGGTCCAACAATGAAACCCATCTAAAAGTCCAAACATTTTATCCGTAGCTCGTTTGGAGATAAGTTATAAATATATTAATTGTATCTAATATATATATAGTTAAGTTATGAGTTGTGCATAATTTTATATATATACCTAATATCAATTGAATCTTATTTAGCCAATTTTTCTCGTAATTAATTTATATATTATTGAGATAAGATACAATTGCTTTCTAGATTACGATTGAAATTTCAGAAATATGCCTTAACTAAGATAAAACTCTATAATCGAAAATTCATTTTTTGAAATTTATATATCTTTTCGCTTACGTGACATATTCCGCCACTCCACATAGTTAAGGCGCGTGAGAGATATTTTAATGTCATATAAGTCAAAACGGTTACAATTCTTTTTAAAAAAAATAATTCGAGGAGGTGATAGAACCTTTGATTTAATTAGGATCGCTTAAATTTTAATTATAATCCATTATGGCTTATTACTATATTATTAATAATATTTTTATAACTCTAATCAGCTATCGAACGATTT